TACTAATCTCTTTTTAGATCTTCTTGTTTAGTACTTATCTTACTAGCCTTTTACTAGGGATTAAGTAATAGTAGTCCTTAAACTAGTGCCTCTTACTATATAGGTACTTAAAGGGCTGTTTACCCTCTTTGTCTAAGCTTTGCCCTTAAAGGGTAGAGAACGCTACGTAATATCTCTTTTTTACCTTTAGTTACCTTTTACTCTTAAGTTTAAGCTTAAACTTATTAAGTACGTCTTTAAATTTAAGTTTCTTTTCTCTAAAAAGCTAGTGTTCTACTATCTAGGTAAACACTAGATCTATACCCTTTATAGCGGCTATAAAGTCGTAGATTAGCCTAGTACTTAGAACTTTAGCTATATTAAGTACTAGACAGTTGTTATACGCTAATTTAAAGCTATTAATCTAAGCGGCTACTAATTGCCCTCTTTTAGGTACCTTTTAAGCTAACTTATACTTCTTAATTAGCTTTTGTTACCTTATATTATCTAAAGGAGCTACTTTCTTTTTTAGTTCTATAAGTATATTATATACTATAGTACTAGTATTAACGTAGTAAACGTATTCTTTTTGTATTGTATTAATTATTTGTATCTATAAGTCGTTTAACACTTATTATTACTGTTTAAATAGTCGTTATTTCTTATTATATTAATTTTAAAGGATCTGTAACTACTCTCTTTTTTCCTTACTTAACTAGCTATAAGCTACGTTTAATTGCCCTTAAACATAGCCTAGTTTAGGCTAAACTAGCTCTTATAGTTAAAGTAGTAGTCGATCCTTTAAAGGATCTATAAAGTTCTATATATTAGCGCTTCTAGCTATAGCTTAGATCCCTTTAATCTAATCGTCCTAATCGTTAGTTTTATTAAAGATATAAGTAGTAATAGTCGTATTAACTATACTTACTATAATAATTAAAGTCGAATTAGTAGTAAGTTAGGTAAAAACAACTACTAAACACGTTGTTTAACTAGTTACTAAATTAGGTAAGTTAGGGTAAGTCTAAATCGTTAAATAAGTACTTAAATTAGCGCCTTTAAATCGATTAAGTAGCCTATTAGCGGCGTTGTTTAGGATATTTTAATTAGCTTCTATTAAGCCTTATATATCTACTTAAAAGTCGAAAAATAGGCTTGTTTACTACGTTAGTATTAGCTAAAATCACGTTAATAGTAGTGTTAAAAAATAAAGCCGGTCTAAGAGTCTAATTACATAGTTTTAGTAGCTATAGAAAGTAACCTAGGCTTATAACTATTAAATAGAATAAATTAGTAATCGATTAAAGAGAGCGAATTAAGTAGATTCGATTAAACTAGATTAAATTAAACTACTAAACTAGGATTAAAAAGGAGGCTCTATATATAAGTAATAGTAGCAAATTAGTATAACAGATCTATAGTAATAAGGCTCTATTACTATAGTAGAGTAGGTAGTAAAGTAAAAACTCTATATTAAACTCTAAGTAAAATCTGACTTCTGATCTACTAGTAATATAGTATTACCTGATTAGGAAATCGAGTTATTACGTTTAACAGTCAGGTTTCTAACAAGAGTGAAAGTAAGGGTCTAGAGGCTCTATATATACATAAACAGGTGGCAAATCGGCATAACGGGACTTTGATAATAGGATTAGGACCCTATTACTGGATTGCAATTGCTTAAAATATAAGTCCCTATTAAGCCTATTCTATATGCGACAGTATGTTCTTTCTTTTCTTGTTCCCTTCTATTGTTAGCTTAACTCCTTAATTTACTTTTGAACATAGCATAAGCTTGTCCTAAGACTAGTTCTCTATAGTCTTCTCTATATGTTTGTTGACTATTTAAACTATGTTGACATATCTTGCTTTACGGCTGAATTCTAATAGTACGTAGAATCTAGGGTCACTAGTATACATTGTAAATCTAGTTTACAGATTAGCTAGAAGATACCTGGAAATGGGCTAGGGTCTTCAGCAAGGAGGAAGCAGAGAAGCTCCCACCACACTGACCGGGATTAGATCACGAAAAAACCTGCGTCCAGGAGGCAAGGTGCCATTCGGGCCCTTATACAACCTGTCCGAACAAGAACTCCGTACACTGAGAGAATACCTAGATAAATTGCTTCAAATAGGCTCGATCCTGTTTGTCTAGGTATTCACACATTCACTTATTTTTTCTTTTCGTGAATTTAACGTTACGAGAAAGGATGTACGTCGAATGTAGTTCTCGTGTATAAGAATGTTGTTCACAACGAGAATTTTGTAGATTGAATAAATACAAACAGCGACTCAGGGAGAGAGGATAAGGGAGAACAAGAATGCAAAGGAAAATGGCTGTTGTTGTAGTACAAGGGGACTTAGGGGAGGGTGAAAGTGGATAACTAGTAGTAAAGAGTAAAGAGTAAGCAGTCTGACTATGCTTGTGTTTTAAGTAGCCGCACTATGACTTGTTCTTTTTTTCTATAGTTCACTGTAGCGGTACCCGGATTGAATATATTCTTTGACTCCACGTCCACCTTGCCGGTGTCAAAAAGTAGCCGTACCATGGCCTCCCCCGGCGTGCCCGTTCTCTCCGGCCAAACATAACAGCGTCTGACTGTTCTTATCCTCCGAGTCTACGCCAACATAATTCTGTGAATTAAGAGCTGCTAGTAGAACTCTCGGAAGAAGGTACCCTGATGCGATATCTAGGGGATTCGTGCCTATGACGGGACTCCTGGTAGGGAATGGTCCGCATTGATTTATCATCTGATATAGCTTCGCCCAGTTGAGTAGGATCTGATCTGACCGCCCTTGTAGCAAGCGTACTAAGTCTGCAGCGTCTAGTTCAGATATTTTCTCGGCCTCTGCTATCTTTGTGTGCCAGACCCAATTGGTTACAGCATATGGCAAGAAGGGAAAGTCGCGTTGAAGTTCCCTCCGATCCTCTATGTCACAGGAGAGCACTTCTTCCATGGCAATGTATTTGATACAAGCCCTTGACAATCGAAGATGAGCATGGCCGATGACGCTACTGGATGAAGGGCTGCCAAGCTCTTGTAGCCCACTCTGAAGTAGGTAGCTGTTGACCGACTGGTGAATGAACTGTGCTATCCGTCTACCTCGATATTTCTTGACCTCAGCAAGGCCCCCAGAAAGGCTCTTTACTGCTTTCTCCATTTCCACATCAGTTGTCGCATAGTCCTTCGAAGCTCGACAATCCTGGACTGAGCTGCAATCCGTATCAATAACCATAGCATAGCGCAGTTCCATCAGTGACAAAGGTCTCTGAGAGAAGCATATCCATTGTATTAGCTGCAATGACTGCGATCGATTTTCCTCTTTTATCTTCCCAAGAATCTCTCGATAGAGAATTTCCAGTTCCGCTGGTATTTCTTGCAGCTTCTTCTGAATGGTCTTGATATTTTTCCCCTGCTCGTATAGCCTGAGAGCTGTGGTGACAACAAGAACAGCCCACTGGAAAACACCCGAGGCCCTGCCTACAATCATCTTCTCAACCTCCCGAGCTTTGAACTTATCCTGAAATCCGTGCTTGAGTTGAAGCTGCACATAAGTAGTTATATCTGGACCGTTTTCCTCTTCGACGCAGATAGTAAGACCATGATCCAAGTTTGCGATAGGGTAATGTCGACAGGAGAAGCATATACTTAGAGCAGCTCCAGTAGGAGCAAGTTGTGAAATCAGGCTTTTGAAGAACACTACCAAGTCCCTAGCGGCTTCTTCGCCACACTCATCAAGTGCATCGACGTAAATTCGTATTGAATGTGTCCTGGAGACTCGTAGGATGGCATCTTTCAGAAAGGTTCGTAGTTCCGCTGCATGCCAATTCCACTTTTTCCCTGGCTCCCCTTGTGTTTCACGCCTCTTCTTTAAGGTTGAAATCAAACCGGGCAGTGAATCGGGAATCTGGTCCAAGATCTGGTGTAGAAGCGAGCGAAATAGGCCAAGAGGGGTTTTCTGGATAGCAGCGCCGCGTCCGTGGAAGAAGAACGAAGCTACCAAAGGCTTGTTTGAAGACGCCTGGTTCTCTGCTTGCCGAAGTGCATACTTGAGCAGCGTTGATTTCCCAGCTCCAGGCTTTCCCTTTATCCAGAGTAATCCTTGGCCCTGAGCAATCCAAGTCATGTAATTCTTATTCTTCAGTAGCCACGAACATGTTTCAGGGGCTTCGTCTTTTATGTCATTTCTTCGCATATACATCTCCGGAAATGCCAAGGACTGTAGGCAGTCTTTCATCAAGGTCAGGAATGGAGAGCGAAAAGCAAATATAGAGTGTAAGGACTGACCTCGTTGTTCCTGAGTCTTCTCCGTCTGTCGTGCTATTAGAAGTCAGCACTTTAGTCCTAATCCTACCTAGTTTGGGTTGTGATTTCTGATGCTGAATGTGTTGAATAGGAAGGTTCTTATCGTCCATACTCACCAAGAGTGATTTTCTTCGACTCTCCTACCCATTTTTGTAACCACCAGAGGATATCCTGGTAATATTCGTCCTTCCAAGACTGAAAACTTTGGATATCCCGGTGTTTCTTGTCGAATCCGATTTGTTTCGACCCGTCTATAACTGCAGACATCTTTTCTACCACCTGGACCCATAATGTATTAGTCTTACCACATAGGTATCTGCTTCAAGAACTCACATTCGTGATGGGGAAGCCAAAGAATGATTCTTTTACAGCTTCGAAAACACAGACAGTATTAGTAGCCCCACAGCCTTGAATTAGAAACTCCATAAAGCTCTTATGGAGCCCCTCATTAACAGTTGATCCGGGCTCAATGACCTCGAGCAGAGTAGTACTTGAACCTTTCCAATGACCAAAAAGTGAGATCATCTTTCCGAACATTGTCAGCCGGGCCCCTTTATGTGGGGTTCCCAGAAAGATAAATCCTCGCGTATGTTGGTAGATATCATCAGTGGTGTCTTCCCTCGCATTCACTAAGGCCTCATTCTGTCAATAGCATGTAACCAAACCCGATATATCAGTCTCACCTGCTTGATGATAAGACCTCCAAAGCTGTGGCCGATGAAGATAATAGGCCGACTCTTTTCCTAAGTCTAGTAAGCGTTTGTTGTTCTAATTAGGGCAAGGTGTCTACACAGTGTACCGTTCCTTACCTCTGGTGTCTGACGAACTCTACGGAGTGAGCGCAACAAATCATCTCCATGGTCTCGCAATGATTTGCTGAGCGCATATGCCTCCCACGCCGTATTGTGGTTGAAAGCCATGATGCGGGCTTGTACATCGTCTGGTAGTAGGTCGCGCAGCCACATGGGCTGTGGTGTAGGCGTTTCTGGGTTATCATCTTGGGAATGCTTGGGCGCTTGCCAGGTTGATTTTGGGTTGAATGCGAGATCATGAACAGCAACAATACTGACAGCGAGCAAACAGCGAAGTCAGCTACAGAGACAGACTAACAGTGGGTTATGGCAAGGGCGCAACGAACTCAGCGAATATTTTTGGAGGGGAGTTCCTGCCATTTTCAAGACTATCGCTCTTCGGCGGGAAGATTTCTAGTGCCTTGCGCCTTGGATTGGGTTCCGTTGCGTTGAAGAAGAATATCTGCGCAGGGGATAGAGCAACACACAGTGCAAACAACAGAACATCCAGTGTAACAAGGAGAATTGTGTAGCCAACAGAAATAGGGACAATATATAGTAAAGTGCTCAAGGCGAAGAAGAAGATGAGCGCGAGGCTCCAGACTCGATGAAAAAAGCTATCTGATAGAACCACCGCCCACGTCAAGTACGAGCATAAGATGAAAAAGGAGATTTGTAGCAGGCCCATAGCGGTGGTACAAGTTTTCGGATTCAATCAGCGATTGCGTTTGGAAGAGTAAAAAAATGAGTTGAAAGTTCAACAGAGAGATTGACTTCTCTTGAATGTTGGAGCTGTTATATGGCGTCCCACTCTGCAAGAAACTATTTTCTGCCGGTACCTGGATCACAGTAAGACTTACAAGCAAAGTGAAGTCCTTTTGTCGACCGCCTACGTCTTCAGTTCGAAGGTAAAGGGGGTGTCGCATAATGATAGAGGGGGTGCCGGGGTGGCGGTTACCGCGTAGGCGCCGTAAGTTTAAGAATCTTAAGGTCCGTTTTATTTGGTTGGTTCTTGTTATCGCCGCACGTTTTATATATAGTATTAGTATGATTTTATTTTTGGACAAACTGTCGAATACAGCCAGCTCAACAGGGATCTATTCCGTTGCTCTGCAGCTCTGAAATCCTCGAGGCTCCATACGCCTCTTTATCGATTTTTCACTTCAATCAAGTCAGTTACCCTCTGTTCAATCCCTCTTGCGTGACACAAATAGCCGGAAAGGGGCTTACTTTTGCTCTCCCCCATCCAAAGCTATTGCAAGTTGCAACATTCTCCCGCCAAGGCTTTTCCGCATGGATCAACCTCCATTTGCTGCTAAAGATGAGCTTTGTGGCAAGCTTTACATCGTCCCGAATCAACACTCAATTCGGCGACGACCTACTCCTGCACCCTCGATGTCGCAGGTTCAGAAGACCGCGACAGAGAAGAGCTATCTTCCTGGTCAGCCGCGCATTACATTTCAAGACCCTGCTATCGGTTCATACCTCGAGTCCGAACTCGTAACTAGGGACTTGGACAGGCTTGCTCCACACCTTTGGCTAGTCGCCAAACAGGACAGCTCCCATATATCATCCCTTACGCATCAGATTGTGCGAGGCCGCGAGATCATCATCACAGAGGAGCCGGGGCTCCATCTCGTCTGGATTTACGATCGCGTATACATCAAACCAATACCCAAATATCTCTTGTCACATGCATTCTGGGAGTTCTACCTCACCGGTAGAGACTCGCCGATACCAGAACCACTGCGACAGGATATCGCAAGGGCGGCTTTTGGATTCTTGAGATCATACCTCTACCTCATACGGCACAAGTCAGATTTCATCCTAGCCACGGACGAGAAGCTCCGCTTGATACCTAAGGAAATCTCCTACACCGAATTTGTCAAGTTCGTTGTGAGTTTTGAGAAGGTCGAGGACATCAGCGTCTCGCCGCGCTGGAGATTCGGGGAGCTGCGGCTAACTCGACTCAATTTCTGGTCCAAGATCTTTCTTCGACGCTTCGCCTATCACAAAGTTCACGGGCAGTACGGCGATTATTTTGCTCGGTTCTATGGTCCGATACTGTTCGTTTTCGGGATTTTCAGTGTGTCGCTGAGCGCTATGCAGGTGGCATTGGCAGTTCAACCCTTCGTTCAGCTGGGACAGTCATGGATAACCTTTGCCAAAGTCTCAAGTGGGTTTTCAATACTTACACTGGTCTGTGTGGTCCTCATAGCGCTTTCCTTCTTGTCCATGCTAGTTGCGCTCTCTTTCCGTGAAACTATTTTTGCAGTCAAGGATCTCTTTCGGAAAAATACATTGAAACCTCAGAATGATGTAGAGGGAAGTGTTTCTTCAAGTAAATCAGCATAAGTATATATATCGACGTCTATAAGGTTAACGTAAAGGATACGGCTAGCGAATAGCCAGTGGTTGTTTTAATAACGTTGTCTTTGATATTGAGGCTCAGCGGGAGGGCCCGTAGGAGGCTTAAAGATCTAGTCCTAATACGTATGACAACATACCGGTACTACCTTAGCCAGAGAACCTACTAGTAGCTTTTGAAAGTACCTACTCGGATATCAAACTGTATTGTCTGTAACAGATTCATGTTTACAAATAAAGAAGGTGAATAACAAACACTCCCCCTACCTAACCGACACACACACGTGAGATCCCATTCCCAACCAAACCGTATCTTACTTACCTCCCTCTCCTCTTCCTCTAATCTATTCCCTCTTCCCTCCACAAGAACAAAGATGGACATTCCTTACTTTGAGATCTAAGTCCTCTCAGGTCCTTCCCCACAAATAGAAACTAACCATATAATCCCCTACCTACCCTAGGCAGACAGACAGATATTCAATATTCAATATTTATAAAATCGTTGCGAACGAACTTTCATCTACTGAAATAATATATTCGACGTATATTTGTCGATTCGTTGGTTTTCGCAACGAGAATTGGTACGAGGAAATGAATAAAGACGTGAATGTTTGTCTTCTGGTTAATGATTAGAGAGGTAGTAAGGGGCTATAGTTTGATACTGCTGACTGGTTGGCAAAGAATGTGAGTGTAATGTGGTGGTTAAGGGTTTGTGGTTTGGTTGTTTCTAGAGTAGAGGGTATATATAGGATTGAACTTTTCGATTCACGCTATGTAGCGAGGTCTTTGATATTCATACATACATTCATTCATAGCTAATTGTGCGAGTCTCCTAAACGCCATGCCCTGCTAATATCCATGTCTAAGCCAGTCTAAATGACCCTCCCGTCATCCTCGCCCGTGCCCTCGATTTGCATTCCCAGCGCGTTCGGGACACCGATGAGGATCTTGCCCTTTGGGACCCGAACATCCCTGACGCCGAAATTGCCAAAGACCTTGAGTGTCTTCAGATTCGGACAGGCGCGGAAGATGGAGCCGACAACAAAGTCATTAACGTTCTGGCAGAAGCTGAGATCTATCTCCCTCAACTCCGGGTATTGCGTGCCAGGAGCGAAGACCTTCTCGAAGGATTCGAGGGAGATGTGACGGCAGGAGTGCACATTCAGGTGCCTGAGGGTGCTCCCTGAGTGGGCCATCAAAGCTTCGAAGCCACGGGAGGCAAGACCGATACCGTTTGGATTGTCGCGGGGGACGGCTGCGTCGATGTGTCGGCATTTGTGAAGGTCGATGTATGTGAGAGGAGGGTTATACCAATTCGTAAACAGGTTGGCGAAGCCTTGATCGGTCAGGACCTCATTGTCGGTGATTCGAAGCTTGAAGATGTTTTGGCAGTTCTCGTGAATGGCTTTGAGGACACTGTCATCAATGTGGTACACTGTTGCCAGAGACAGAGTGCGTAACCCAGGACCAATGCTGTTCAGAACATCGACATATGGAGGTGAGCTAGTTGGTTTATAGATCTCGAGACTCAGGTGCTGGAGACCGGGGAGATTGGCGATATGTGCAATACCTTTGTCGGTGACCTTCTGGTTGTGAGATATCTTGAGGCGTTGCAGATTGGGGCATGTCTTTGCAAGGAGTTTGATCTGCTCGTCACCGAAATAGCCATCTGTGTGATATATCTTCAAAGCTTTCAAGTGTGATCCTTTCTCGGTTAAAAATCTATCCCATCTCGTGTCATCGATTAAATTGGAACCGTGGAGTGAGAGACTTTCCAATTCGACGGTAGTGTCCAGGAGATGGTCCATCACCTTATTTTTGAACTGTACAGCATTTCGAAGGCGGAGATGTTTGATCTTTGGGACGATCTGGAATATCTTGATGTAGTCATCGGAAGATAGCTTTGCGCCGTCATATACTGTCACAGTATCGCGATCAGGCTTCAGGAACAAATCCAAGGTAGTCGGATTCAGGAGTCGCTTCTTCGATAGGATGGCCGCAAGTCGATCAATTAATGCTGGGGGAAGGTCTCCAAAATCCTCGGCTTGATCCACATTCTTGGCCAAGGTCTCGACACACAAGGTTACCAGGTCCTTCGCACCGGGGTAGATACCGTCCAGAAGATTACTCTGTACTTGTCGTCGCTGCCGTCCTGCGTTTGTCTTTCTCCTCTTCCGGGCCGAACCTTCTTCCTGGTCAAGCTCTTTTGTACATTTTGGACAGAGTAGTCCTCCATCAGGGCCAGCTCGACTGTATGCTGTAACCGTGAATCTCTTCCCACAGATCTCACAATTCTCCATCTGCCCCGGCAGGGGTGCCATAGTCTCCTGGAAAAGGGCGCGTGCAGCTTCATCTTCATCGGACATCTCGTCGTCGGATCCGTATTGACGTCTTCGACGTTGGAACTGCTTGGAAGCTTTGATTCTGGCAATCGCTTTCTATCTTGCGTCAGCCACCCTCGTCAATAGACGAGGAATCGGTGATGATTTACCTCTTCTTCCTTCTTTCTCTTTGCCGACTGAGCTTTGCTCTCATTCCTGCGGCGAGCAGGAAGGGGTTCTGGCTCAGCGGAAGGAGAATCAGCAGCATCAGCAGCATCATCCCCATTATCCCCGCTACCCTCTGCAGCCTGCTGAGCAGCTACGGCTGCTGCTCGTCGCGCGAGCGCATCTTGCCGGATCTGATTGGCGCTGATGTTATGTGACTACAAAGTATCAGCGACGGCCTGTTTGTATAGGTGGATAGGCACAGGCACGTACAGCGAGGAAGTCGGTCAAGGCTGACTGTCTGAAGCGGGTGGGGTCAGCCTTGGGGTCTGGAGGGGTAGGGAAAGAAGGGTAGAAAAGAGAAATATACTCACGGTCCTCGAATCTGGCGGGATGGGCGATTCGCAGCTGGCGGACCGGGTGGATTCCTGCTATAGTATTAGATAGAGAAGATCTGAAGAGTTCCATCGGGGCCTTCGCACATGTTGCCTGTTGGCTGGATTGGCACCTCCCCGGCAGGCGGCAGGTGGCGGGGTGCTGAGATTGTGTGATATCTGGTAGTAGAGCGTGGTAGAGAGATGAGAGTTTGGGACTTTGTAAGTTGAGTTAAGTTGAGTTGGATGAAGAATGCGAAGAAGAGACTATCTCTCTCTCCCTCACTTTCTCCCTCTTCGAGTCGCCTCCCAGAAAACGCGACCGGCCAGCCAATCAGAAGGATCGCTGTTGCCTGCACCTACTCGCCACTGATCGCCTCACCCCAACCATATTACTGTTCGCACACTCGGCCTGGCTGGAAGCACCCAGCCGCGCGTCGATGCCTGCTTGTTCAGGCGTAAACCGTGGATATAGTATTCCACTATGTACGCTCTATCAAGTCACGCCTTTTCGTGGTCTAGACGCGAAGGCAAATCCGACTCCTGAAAATGATCTTCATCCATCCTCCTCTTATCGCCATCAACACCACTACCAACTCGCGCCGGCCGCTTCAAGAGCGCAGACAAGAGGAGAGAGGAGAGTCAGCAGTCAAGACGACTGCTGAACAACGTCAATCCTGTCTTTTCATCCAAGGACTTCCTATCCAAGTCATCCATTTGTTCCTCCTACTCTCTTTCGGAGATATTTCGTTATCTTTCTCTACCATCTTTACCTACATATATATGTACGACACGTATATATAAACACTGTCCTGTACCGATACATCACTCTCGAGAGTATCGTTACGCCTCTTCTGTCGGTCGACTTCCCCCGATTTCCCTGCCTTTCCTTCCCTGTTTCAAGCCCTCGCCCTCGTTCACCACTCCTCTTCTTCATCTTTGTCCCGCGGGATCTTCTCTCTTCTTTGACGCCACTCCCTCCAATTTATCATTGACGTTGCATCTCGAGGTTATTAAACTTTATTTACTATCTTGCCTACGGCCGGCTACCTCCAAGTCATCCCGTCTTCCCCCCAGCTGTCGATCGAGATGGCGCCAACAGGACGACCAAGAGGCAGACCGCCAAAGCCAGTAGAAGGTGCCAGTAGTAGCCCCGCAAACTCAAGTCTTTCTGGTAAGGAGCACCCGAGCTTTCATATCTGCCACACCCCACTCGTTGCATGTTCCCAGTCGGAGAGACGCGATCTGATTATGGCACGGTCGAGCTGACAATCGGGGAAACAGCAACCAGAAGATCGGCACGCCTCCTGCCCGCCAGAGATTTCTCAAACCCTATTGATGCAGACGCAGACGACTCTGACTCACTTGGGGATTCGATGATTGGGAAATATACACGCTCTCGAAAGGTAGAGGACGCAGCTAGCCGTGGATCTCTATCCTCAGTTTCCACGTCCCACGACTACAACGAGAGTAGCGGATACTCTACCCCAACAACAAGCGCTTTCGCCACTCCTGCACCTGCGAAGGCCTCTAGTACGGAGACATCAACTACTCGAAGGGGTCGTAGAGCTACAGCCATGCTCCCGGAACCAGTACCGTCCGGTATCAGCGCCGTTGCTAGAGCTGCAGCCCTACGCAACAGTCAGTTTTCCCTGGACTCAACTGGCAATAAGCGCAAGAGGATGGTTGTTCGGGATTCAGATGATGAGGATCTCGATGCCGATGAGGACGATTCCCCAGATGCCCAGCTAGCTCGAGCGCTTCAGAAAGAAGAGAATGCGGCTGCCGCATCTATGACAGGTCACGACAACGGATATACACCGAGAAGAACGCCTCGCAAGATCCAAAAGCTCACATCGACCTCCTATTCTATTCCCCTAAGTGATGATGACGACGATTTCACGTCACTGAAGAAGCCGAAGGTCGAGCTTGCTCCCAAAGGCTCCAATGCGGTTTCATTCTCTCCTAAGAAGACAGTTTCAAAAAAGAACTCAATCAGGGATACTGATGATAGTGATACATACATTGTCATTGACGATTCTGAGGAAGATATGATCGCCGCCCCGATCAGACCTCGAATCAGAAAGGGCATGTCATCGCGATCTGATGGCTTCAGAGCAGAGAGGCAGATGTCACCGCCGTGGAATCCTGCATCCAGTGCAGCAAACGCTGCCTCGAGACGGGGACGGGTGGGACGGAGAAATAGAGATATCGAGCCTTCTACCGCCATTTCGGGTCTCACTGACATCGTAGATAATTCAACCAGCGAGTTTGAAAGCGAGTTCGATAGCGACCTTGTAGATCTTCCCTCTGATATCGACTCCGATGACATCTCGGACGACGAAAGCGTCAACCTACCCCCACCTGGCGCCTCTCGCCGTCGGATTCCCGGGCGTGCTGCTCGTCAGAGGCTCAATCTGTTAGAGGAGCGACAGAATGGCAGGGCTAGAATGGAACGACTTCGACTCGAGGCTCACCATCCAGAGCTCCAGACTATGTGGCAAGACCTGGAGAATCTTCCCAAGATTGGCTCTGTGAAGATCGATCAACCAGTCCATATCAACCGAGAGTTGAAGCCGTTTCAGCTTGAAGGGGTTGCCTGGATGAGGGCAATGGAACAAACAGAGTGGGGTGGTGGTTTATTGGGTGATGAGATGGGTATGGGAAAGACTATACAAGCTGTCTCGCTCATCATGTCCGACTTCCCTGCTCCTCAACCTTCACTCGTCTTGATTCCTCCAGTTGCTCTGATGCAGTGGCAGCAGGAGATTGCAGATTACACCGATGGCACACTGAAGACGTTTGTCTTCCACGGCACCAACGCGCAGACAAAGGGCGTCACTGTGGAAGAACTCATGAAATACAATGTCATATTGATGTCGTACAACAGTCTCGAGTCAATGTATCGGAAGCAGGAGAAAGGGTTCAAGCGCAAGGGTGGTCTGCACAAAGAGAAGAGTGTGATCCATCAGATCCACTTCCACCGTGTCATCCTCGACGAGGCACATAATATTAAGGTATGAGATTCTTCGACTAACAGGAGCACTGTTAACGTTTCATAGCAACGTACCACCGGATCTGCCAAGGCATGCTTTGCTTTGAAGGCAGACCATAAGTGGTGTTTGTCTGGTACCCCGTTGCAGAATCGTATTGGCGAATTCTTCTCCCTTGTCCGTTTTCTCGACATCCGTCCATTTGCCTGCTACTTCTGCAAGCAGTGTTCTTGCTCCACTCTGAATTGGGAGATGAACGAGATTGGTCGTTGCAAGGGATGCAATCACAGTGGCATGCAACACGTCTCGGTCTTCAACCAAGAGTTGTTGAATCCAATCCAGAAGTTCGGCAACAACGGACCAGGAAAGGAGGCTTTTCGAAAACTTCGAATCCTCACCGACCGATTCATGCTTCGTCGCGTCAAGCGGGACCATTCATCTGCAATGGAATTGCCTGCTAAGGAGATCTATGTTGATCGACAATTCTTCGGCGAGGAGGAGAACGATTTTGCAGGTAGCATTATGAATAACGGCACCCGAAAGTTTGAGACCTATGTCGCCCAAGGTGTTCTGCTCAATAACTACGCCAACATTTTCGGTCTCATCATGCAGATGCGTCAAGTGGCCGATCATCCTGATCTCATCTTGAAGAGGAACGGTGAGGGTGGTCAGAATGTCCTTGTCTGTTGCGTCTGTGATGAGACCGCCGAGGATGCTATCCGCTCAGCTTGCCGTCACGACTTTTGTCGCGAGTGTGCCAAGAGCTACCTACACGCTTCCGGTACGTTTGCCTGTCCCTAACCCATTTCCTTACTAATGCGAGCAGACACACCTGACTGTCCAACCTGCCACATCCCTCTCTCCATCGATCTTGAACAGCCCGAGATCGAACAAGATGAGCAACTCGTCAAGAAGTCATCCATCATCAACCGCATCAAGATGGAAAACTGGACCTCGTCTTCCAAAATCGAAGCGCTGGTCCATGATCTTCACCAACTCCGATCGAAAAATATGTCCAGCAAGTCAATCATCTTCTCCCAATTTACAACTATGCTCCAGCTGGTTGAGTGGCGTCTCCGTCGCGCGGGTATTACAACGGTCATGTTAGACGGCAGCATGACTCCTGCTCAACGCCAGGCATCGATCAACCACTTCATGACTGACGCCAGTGTTGAGTGCTTCCTCGTCTCTCTCAAAGCCGGTGGGGTTGCTCTTAACCTGACTGAAGCGAGTAAAGTGTTTATCGTGGACCCGTGGTGGAATCCTGCAGCAGAATGGCAATCTGCGGACCGTTGTCATCGTATCGGGCAGGCGAGACCGTGCTCCATTACTAGGTTGTGTATCGAGGATTCGGTGGAGTCTCGCATGGTGTTGTTGCAGGAGAAGAAGGCCAACATGATCAACAGTACGATCAATGCTGATGAATCGGCAATGGAGAGCTTGACCCCTGAGGACATGCAGTTCTTATTTAGGGGAAATTAGGTGGCGCTTGGGTAATGAAGGTAGCCCGGTTCAGGTTTGCAGTTTTATGACCCCGGCTGTTCTTCTTTAGCGGGTCTTGCTAGGTGTTACGGGTTCTCATATGGGGAGAAACGGTCGGATCACTACTTCAAGAAGGGTAATGGGAGGGCTCAATAGGTGTTTGCTGGTTCCTATACACAAGTTGGGAGGGAGTTGCTAAAGGGGGGTTGCTATACACTTAGATGAGTCACTCGCTGAATGGGATATGAATTATAATCGTTACAACTTCGTGAGAACCCCTGCATATGTTTATCAACCCGGAGATGCTCTGTCTGGAGTAGAAGAGTTGTGCTTGCAGCTTCCATCCCGATTCGGTAATTACTGCAGAATGCGGGTAGACGTGCATGTTAACTCTTCTCGAACTGACATGGAAGAAGATGGTAAGGTATTTATAAACTCTAATAAATCACAGATTCAAAAATGATGAATAACGAGTGATATCTCGGACCCAGCGAATACATACCTTTCCCTGAGAGAGGTAAAGTAACTAAGGTAGGTAAAGCAGACACTGCTCACAAGACCTTCCCAAGATAACCTTTTTGATTAATTAGGTAGAGAGGAATGAAACAAAACATTTAAGTTTCTGATGGTAAAGAGTGCTAGGTACCTTAAGGTAGCTGGGTTGATAGAACTATCCTAGGTAAGGTAGGTACGCTTAAGGAAAGAAAGAAAGAAAGAGCCTTTTCACATTCCCCCAATCTTCATCCCTTCTTAAATTCACTCGCTGAGGTGTCTCTCCTCTAGATACGCGATCATCGAAAGAATTTACCTAAAGTTTCTTTGGGGAAAGCATTCTTTACCTGTGAATGAATACTTTTGATTCTTCTTCGACACTAAACAAGTCTTTGTCCTCGACAATCCAAAATCCAAGATCCCAAAAGGCATCTGGAAGACAAAAAACCAAGCTATCTCGAGATAAAAGAAAAAAAGCGATTACAGGGAATCAGGATCGATCCGGATAATGTCATTATCATCATCGACGACCAAACCCCGCGCTCCTATTTTCCCGCGCGGTGATGCTGATTATTGGATCTGCTGCTCCAAACCTTGCATCTTGTCTGGAAGTTCAAAACTGCACGTACGTATGAACCTCCCTCTCTTGTTTTCTGCCCTCTCATATATCCTTCGTATATCATACATGATGGATCGTGATGAATAATAGATCGAGTTTGAAGGGAGGATGTTTGATGTTTGCTGATAGATAGAGAGATAGTGTTTTGAGAAAAACCCGAATACGCAAAAGAGATGCAGCAAATGTGGACATTGGAAATGTGATGTGTGTCTTGATATGGCGCTTTTAGGATCCCATTTGTGGAGTAGGGAATGGAGAAGGGATAGGAGGAAGAAGAAGGAGGGGGGTCAGGGGTTGGAGTTCATGGGTGGGAAGGAAGAGAGAGGGTGATTGATGGAAGCAGGGGGTGATATTCCAATTTCCTTTCTCGCCATGAGTATTAATGGGCTTTTCATTATAAGCATAAAGAAGAAGCGTTTACTGGATCCTACTTTTTGTGCTACTGCTTGTCTAAATCATGTTTTTATTCTGTATTACGAGCTGGTCTGTAAATTTGTACTTGGGATCTCTGATGATCAGTGGTTGAAAAGGAATCGAGAACTGTGAAGCATCGAAGAAAAGGAATATATCACACTAAACCTTCTCTACCGACTGAAGCGTCCCTCTGTTTAGTAAGTATTTCTTTGAAAAAGCAAAATGACGTTGAAGGACGAGTTAAGACACGAGCTGTTTCTTCTTAAGTTCTTGTATTAGTTAAAGTAGGTAGGTAGTAAGGGAAAGTTAACGCCTTTCACATAAATATATCTTATCCCAGACCCCATTACCCACCCACCTACCCAACAACCACAACAAATCCTCCATCAGCACAAATATCTAGAATCCAATAATGCAAGGGTAAAAAAGAAAACAAAAAGGGGGGGAGCAAGATAAGGGTAAGCGACCGATTGATTGATTGATTGATTTTTGTTGCACATCGCAGCAGCCGCCATAAAGCCGTTACGAGAACGGTTGATCAACGGTTATACGGCGGCTATTTAACGGTTATACGACGGTTATACAACGGTTTGCGGGTGCGATGTGCAACAAAAGAATGTGTGTTTGGGTTGAAGCGAGGAGTAGCATGTGTAGGTAAGCGATGAGTGGATATTAGGGGGAGATATGTATGGATGAGATGAGAAATGGATATGATGAGATGTGCTTGGATTCATTAGGTACCATGGCATACAATTTTTATTTTGTCCCTCCTTTCTATAATGTTGTATATCGACAGATAGGTCATCTCCGTGCACTACGTCGATGAATACCTATAGCCTAGCCTGCTAGGCGGAACTCCCGTGGTATCTGGAGCCAGACAAACAGATCTACCTTATCTATAACCATCTCTCTCCCTCCTATAGCTACCGCCATCCCGCTCCCGCTCCCGCTCCCGCTCTCTCTCCCTCCGATACCCCCCACCAGCCCTCTCCAACCTCCTCTCCCTATCCGCCTCCCTCTCCCTCGCATACTCACTCGCTCTAGGTCTCCGATCGCCGCGTCCACCGCCGCCCTTCCCCCCATCCGTCCTCAACCTCTTCACATCACTCTTCTGCACCCAAGCGCCCAGCTCCTCGGCCTCTTTCAACTCCTTCGCTCCGAGACCCAAGAGGTTCTGTCTCCGCTTGACCTCCTTCACGCTGCCCTTCTTCTCGCCCTTCCAGCCCATGCCCCGCAGCAGCGCAGCGCCGAACTCCTCGACGGGGACGCGCTCGTAATCCTCCAGCGTCGAGACGTCAGGCGCCTCGCGGATCGCGCGCCTATATGCCTCTTCCTCCGTCGTGCGGCCCTCGGGTCTCGAGATGGGAATGATCAGGTCTGGAGTTTTCGTGTCTGATTTCTGGCCCAGCAGCGCCGCGAGCGCTTCTTCATCTGCCGTTTTGGGCTTCTGATCTTCTTCTGCCTTCTCCTTTTCTCGCGGTGTATTGTTGTCCGTAGTAGTAGTCTCCACAGCTTCCCTACTGCTCTCCAGCGCAGTAGTATCCTCAGTCTCTTTCTCTCTCTTCCGCACACTGAGACCCCATTTAATCTCTCCATCCTCTGAATTCACCACATCTACACCCTCCCTCTTCACACCCACACTCCCACTCCCCCTCGCCGCCTCCGCCTCCGCCCTCTGCGCCTGCACTTCCGGCGGCAAAAGATTCTTTCCTCTCCTTACTTCCGCTCTCCAATCCCGATTCGCCATCCTCGGAATCACCAACTCCTTCACTCTTCCACCCTCACCTTCCTCATCCCTCCTCCTACCTACCGCCCTCCCATTCTCCACCCCGATCACCTCTTCAAACCCTCCTCCCTCGGAATCTGAGTCTCCCCCCGTTTCTGCAGTAGTCGAGAACGCGCCGCCGCCGCCGCGCGCCCGCTTGCCCAGTGCGCTCTTCACACCATTCGCACCTCCGTTCGCGAGCTGCGGACTCGCGCTCTTGGACGACGATGCGCGAGAGAGGGAGAAGCCTTTCATGGCGAATTTGGGAGGCTCGTCGCTTGTTGTCATCTTGAGGACAACCCGTCGCTGTCGGTTCGAGAGGAAGGAATTTGTTTGTTTGTTTGTTTCTTTTCTTTTTTCTTTTTTGGTTTGTTGGACGGATGGATGGGAGGAGGCGAGGCGGCGAGCGAGGCGTGCAATATGGAAGCCTGGAAGGAATGCATTTCTGCGCGCGCTGATTTCATGGCAGCCTTATCAGATAATGGAAGCCTTAGGTATCTATCGATTAGGCTGTGCCTTATCTGGATCCACGTGAGCTACGAGTGCACGTGACTAGCAGCTTCTTCAAAGCGTCAAAGTCCACTACTACCTTCTACTATTTGTAGCGCCCATTAAAACCTTACACAAGATCTCAACAATAGCAGCCAAGAACTAAATCAGAGCAGCGAATTAATACTTGTTTATTTTCATGTCAATCCTCCTAACTTCGTTTGACTCACTTCCCTTAACCGCTCATGTCCTAGAATTCGAATTCCGCTGCTTTGACTCTGCCGTAGAAGAGATCCCGAATCTACCTGTACTGTATGTACTCTACAAAATGCCCTGTTTTCCCGCCTAGTTCAGCCATACGGGCTTTTGCAATACCTAAACGATACCCGCGTTTGCACCTGCAACGCTCGTTCCTTTGAGATTTCCCTTCGATTGTTGTTATCCTCATCCCGTTTCTACTTGACCTGCTCAGTAGAAAGGTTTTCATCACGTTCATCACTTCCCACTCTGATTACTTCCACTCCTCTGATGCCCCTGCTGCCCCTGCTGAACTTGCTGCTGAGGCTGCTGCAGCGGCCCTTGCTGTGACCCTTGTTGTTGACCTTGTTGTTGACCATGGTGTTGACTTTGCTGTTGAGCCTGTTGTGGTCCTTGTTGTGGTCCCTGCTGTGGACTCTGGTGTTGACCTTGCTGTGGACCCTGCGGACCTTGCGGAGGACCTTGGTGTTGGCCATGTTGTTGACCTGGTTGTTGACCTGGCTGCTGGCCTTGCTGCTGACCCTGCTGACCCTGCTGCTGTGCCTGGGTAGCCATATTCGCCGCCGCCTGTTGAGCTTGCTGAACCTGTTGAGCCTGCTTCTCCTGCTGCTGCCTCAACATTTGAGCATACAACTGGGGGCTGTTTTCCACCCCACTTGGCATCCTCTGGTTTCCAGCCATGCCGTTCATGCCACCCATCCCACTTCCCATCCCGTTCACCATCCCATTGATGTTACCACCGGCAGCTGCGTTCATCGCACTCTGCGCAAGTCCTTGTCTCTGATGCACCGATTTCGCCAGAGTCTCTGAAATCATGCGCATGACTTGCTCTTGTGTTGCATTAGGGTATTTCTGCCGGATTGACTCTTCTAGCCGTACGGCTTGAGGCACCATGCCGTTCGTCAATTGTTGGGGGTGCCCTCCCATGCGTGGTGATCCAGCTTGACCTTGAGGAGAAGGGCCAGCGGCGCCAGGTGAGGAGACGTTAGTGCCGTTGGGGAACCCCATCATACCATTTTGCATTTGAGGGAATCCTGGAGGTGGGAGCCCGTTCATATTCCGAGGTGGGGAGTTGGAGCTGTAAACTTGGCCTGGGCCAGGAAGTTGTCCTTGCGGCCGCATTTGGATGGCTTGACGTTGTTGTTCTGCGATCCGATGAGCTTGAGTGACCAAACCGACGTCCAGAGCTGGGTTTGGTAAGGGCAGTTGGCCTTGCATGCTTTGCATTGGAGCTTGTGGCATACCGTTCATAAGACCTTGAGGAGGGCGGAGATTGTTTTGCATCGGCATTTGGCCCATTTGAGGAGGCATGGGACGTCGAGCTTGATTTTGGCCCGGAACTGTGAGGTTTTGACCTGTTGCGTTAGGTGTTCCATTGGGAGGCAATGCACCATTAGGAGTAGGGCGTTGTTGAGCTCCATTAGGTAGCTGCTGTTGTTGATTTTGGCTAGCCAATCGTGCTTGGAGAGCAGCCTTCATACATGTCAGTACGTGTTGGAAGATATAAAGAGAAATAAATGGCAAATATAAATAACTCATACCCTTCTTTGCGTCTCGAGCCGCTGTTGGAAGAGAGCCTGTTGCTCCTTTACCCGTTGCTCGTGATCATACTTGAGTTTGCTCAGTTGCTGTGGGGTCTTGAGCACACCGCGCTGCTGAGGAACTTCTTGAGCCTTCCGCATCGCAGCCAATCCGGCAGCATGTTGCTGCTTCTGCTGATTGGTCTCGCGCTTCTTGGCTAACTTCCTCATAGCATCAACCAAAGTAAGATGCTTCTGGTTCCTACGACGCTCAACTCGGAAGCTGGTGGTTGTTCTCCTCCTTTGTGGTTGGGGTTGGGCACCATTAGGCTGTGCAGCTTGCGCCGCCATGACATTTCGGTTGGCAGCCTCAACACGGTTGTTATAAGCTCTGAAATAATGAGTCTTCTGCATATCAGCTGGTAATCCTTCGAGGTGGATCCAACGCTCGAAGCATTCCCATGGCGTTCGACGTTCTGCTCCGGAAGAAAATAGAGATTTACTTTGTAGCATGCTTGAGATGAGAGACCAGTTGTATGAATACTCCCGAACGAGGCTTTTGAGCTCATCATCTTCTGCGCATGTCCACTGTGAAGCCGTCCGACATTCAAAGAAGGTCTGGAGTGGCATCGGGAACTCAGACGGAGGTCTGAACTGATGCCCGGCGTGGATACGGTCGCGTATATGTTTATGCTCAGGGTTAAAGAGAGCAACGTCCGTTTTCTCCGGTGGGAGCACGGGTCGCTTTTGCTTCGGTTCGCCGAAGACTACTTGGTCATCATCATCACTCTCCTCTTCGTATTGGAATCGACTCTTTTTCCTGGGTGGTCCATCCATTTTGAGTTCCATCCGGCCTTCGACATATTTGCTCAGAGGTAAAGCTCGCCGTCTCCAGGATCGATCAGGGTCGACATCCGTCAAGGATGGCTCTATCTGTGGCACGGCTAGAGGTGCTCCGTACATTGGGAGCTCGTTGAGGAGTTTGTCGGTGATAGGTGATCTTCTCAAACCGAACACAACGTCATCATCTTGGAGGCCGAAGATAGCTGTTGGTGCAACAGTTTCCAGGAGGTCGAGACGAGGTTCTTCATCAAATTCGTCCGGGGAGTCGAATTCTGCCGAAGCAACCAGATCCGGTGTGGGATGTTCTTGCATCTCGACATCTTTTGGTTCTAGCGGCGGAGGCGTGGCCTTCACCTGGAGTAATCTCCTATCTTCCGGGCTAGCTTCGACCCATTCGGCGCAGGCGATCGCCAGGTTTCTCGCAACTGCCATTTTCCATTTCCTCTCCTCTCTGAAGTCCGTTCGCATCCACTTAGCTTCCTGGAGGAGCACATCCCAATGGCTGGTAGGCCGAATTGGTTCTTTTGCACGTTCTGGTTGCCTCAATGACCATCTTCCAGCGGATTGTAGATTATAGATCCGTTTCAAAATCTTCGATGTTTGATTCTCGTTGATTGGAACGTAGGCATTGGATGTAGTGATTGTCTTGTGAGCTGATTGGAGAAGACCGTCTAGCGGTGGGATTCCTAGTCTCTCCCTTGAGGCTGTGGAGATGAATAGGGGCATGAAATAATCATCTTTGAGATCTTGAGCCCGAGAGCCGCCGTGCATCAGAGCAGAGTTACTAGGTGCTGGCCTTTTAGGCTGCTTCGCGAAGATAACCGTCGAAAGCTTGCTTCGCTCCTTTTCCCTCTGCTTCTCTATAAGTCTTCTGATCCCGGGTGACTGTGGAGTGGTACTGCGTGAGGGCGAATGAGAGTTCCCCATCGATTCAAACTCAGTGACCACTTTTTGGCCATTCGTTTCCGAACTGGAGGCTGTGTTTGGTCGAGGTATCTCTCCTAAGATCTCAGAGACAGATTTGTGTCTCATGGCTCCTGATGACACTCTTGTTGTCATCCGTTCCAGAGTTGGGGTAGAATCATCAGCCGGAGTTGATGATGTTCTCTTAGAGGGCGATAGTGCGGGAGTGGCAGAGGAGTTCCGCGAATCCACTTCAGGTTTCGGAGCAGCCTGTGAAGATGCAGTGGTAGCTTCGACTTTATTTTCAATGGGAGCATTGCTCTCGAACGAGTCCTGGATAGTAGGAGCTGCATCGACATCCATGGCTTCGACAGGAGGTGTTTCGGCCTCGGAATCTGCAATCTCTGGTGGTTTGGCTTCTGGTTGCTTCTGTTCCGCGCTGGATTTCTCTACACCAGCCATGGGTTCAACCTCAGGGTTTGCTACACCCATAACCTCGTCTTCATCCTCGACGGTATCCTCGACGACCTGGCTGGCTTCCTTGGTGAACGTGGCAGCTTCATCCTCGTTCTTAGCGGCGTCTTCAGGTTGTGAATCCGCATTTTGTTCCGCGGTTGCGGCTTGTTCTTCCATCCGCAGTTGGGCATCAACGGCACTGGGACTACTCCCCAGGATCTCTGCCCGGGAAATATCCATTTGTGCCTGTAGTATTCTGTCATGTTCTTCCTTCTCGGCGAGTTCATCTGGTGCCTTCTTCAAGTCAACTGGTGTCTGTGGTTCATTCTCCTTATTCTCCAATCTATCCGCTTCATATCTCGACCCGTTATCAGGACTCGTATCAGTCGATGCATCATGCAGTGCCGGGGTGGTAGCTGAATGTGCATCAATCGTCGAGCCTGGTGAGGACAGAAGATCCGCAGTACGGCCACGATCTCTCGGGAGACTGATGGAGAGATGCTGTTGCTGCTCGCGGGACTTCTCTGCTTCCTGCAGATGGCGTTCCTGAACCTCTTTGGGAGGTAAGTGTACCGTTGCAGCCTTGTGCTGTCCATCGTGTGAACCCAAGCCTTCAACGATGGGTTCCTCCAATTGAGCAGCGTCCTCGGCCGATAATGGCATGGCTTTCCTGGGATCGACACCTGGACTATTCTGCCTGCTCTGCACCACTGTCCTAATCCTCTCACTCTGTGATTCTCCAGGTGGTATGGCATCATCGGGTTGAAGTTGTGGCTCCGTCGCATCTTCTGACGGTTCATCTACCTCGCCGAAGACAGTGGATGGCTCTGCTGGGGAACCTATCTGCGAGGCTTTCGAGCTCGACTGCTGCGTAGAAGACACACCTTGGCCGGCATCGCCATCAGGGATATCAGCCTGCTGTCCAGGGTCAGTCCTCGAACTCGGTGTTGCGGCGCGACTCCTCCTCGATCTCGACGCCTCACGCTGCCCCTTCGACGCCTTGCCCGTCGCATCGACGCCCCTTGCATCCGGACTCACCTTCCCAGTAGGAGAGCGCTGCCTCGCGGTCTCTGACCGGAGTTGTCGACGCGTAGGGAGGGTGGATTCATCGAAAAGGCGATCTCTGCAGAACAGTGATAATCAGCGAACCGCAACTACAAGCGACACGAGGGTCGAGACACGCCCAAGAAAATCAACAATCGAGAGGCCACACATACTGCAATACGTCGCAGACATCGAGGAAGTGCGCCTCGGCGGCGCTGGTGGGCGGCGCGTCGGGGCCCTCAGGGCTGATCTGGGGAAGCGGGCCATCATTGTCGCAAACAGCGAAAAACTCGCGCAGCTTCCTCTTGCGCGACGTAACAATTCCACTATGGCCATCAGCACATCAAGACCGACATGAAACGATGCGCCGGCGCACGCGCTTCCCGGCCGATGCAAAAGGACAATTGACATACCTCAGCTGGGCGCGTTTGGATCGCAAGAGCGCCGCGCGGTCGGCAGCTCCAACCTCACTCATCCTCGGGCGGACCGCGACATCCGTTTGGGGCGAAAAAGGCAGCGGGATCGAGGTCAAGGGGGAGACAGGAGATGATATGAGGGGCGAGAGGCGATGGAAGAGGGGGTCGTGGTGGTGGTGTTGATTGATTTTTGATTGATTTGAATTTGATTCTGGGGCTCCCTGAGCGACCGAAGCCCACGATACCGGGCGTGCGGCTGCTGCATTTTCCATGGGGAGCGGCAGCCGAAAGCTGGGAAAAGCCACTAGCCCGGTTCGGGAGCCATCTATTTCATTCATTCATTCATTCATTCATTCACTTTTCACTTTGGCGGGCTCTGCACTCTTGTGATATTGTCTGCATCTTTTGATTTTTTTATTATTATTTTTGTGCTACGACGGAATTACTGTGCTGTGTGTGGTTCTCTTCTACGGGGTATCATCTCTTGTCAGATCCTCCTTGTTTTGAGTCGGACAGTGAGATTCGCTCCCACGTCACTGGAGAGGTCTCCAAGCGATGACACTAGTGATCAGATCGATACCTCACCGTTTATCAAGACCATTTGCCTTGTGCTAAAAGCCTATGCAATGATAATAGAAAGAGTGAATAGTGAATGCTAAAGTGAGTTATGAATAGTGAATGGTTCTACTTACTTTTTATGTTCTTGTGTCTCGTAGACTAGTCGAACTGGGTCAAAAGAGATTCAAGACACAGCAAATAGGGGTTACAACAATAATAGAAAGAGTGTTTAGTGAATGGTAAAGTGAGTTATGGATAGTGAATGGTTTTCACTCACTTTTCATATTCTTATGTCCCGTTGGCTGGTGGTATTGGGTCAAAAGAGAATCATGACACAGCAAATAGGGGTTACCGGAAACAGCAGGCAACCGGGGCAAATGCATTTCCCTTTCCATCAATTAGAAACTCTTGATATCTTCCAAATACCCAAAGAGAGAAAGAAACCCGGCCTGGCTTTTCATCATCCCCGCCTCCCGACCTCCAACAAGCAATCGTGGTATATGTAAAGTACCCAACTCGAAAGTCGACATGAGACATGAATGAGTCACCCCTAACGCCGTCCGCTGCCTATAACTTTTGCCTTTCCTTTTCCACGAAACCCTTTGCCCGCCGGGGCCCTATCCCTACCCCCCGAGAGCGCAAGTCTTCTACCAATATTCCCAAAACAGACGCAGCTGCAAAACAACACGCTTATGATCCAGATGCCGCCCTCGAGGCTCTCTCTGCTGACGTAGAGAATCCCGGTAGGGGTATGCAGCGTTGTGTTTCTGGAGGGCGAGGCCGGGGACGGCATCATGTCGGGGTTGGAGGCGAGGAGGAGCGCGGTGCCAGTGGCGCCGACCGCGCTGGAGAGGATAAAGCCGGGTTTCGATCGGTCGATTATGTACCAGAGGACCGGGTTCACCAGCGCTAGGGTCAGGGAGGCTTGGAGCGTTGAAGTCCATGGGAGCCGCCTCTATAGATCGGAGGTTAGTATCAATGTCTGAAAAGCGAACAGGGAGAAACAAAGGAGGAACGAACAATGGCAAAAGCAATTCCCACAAAAGCCCCCACACTCCTAACAACAGGCGTCCAATCTGCCCCAAATATGCCTGTAGATTCCAAACCCTCCTCCGCTGTCACCTCTGGACTTCCCTCCTTCTCCCCTGATGAGGCCTCGCCATTCTTGTCCGCACACAAAGTGTCGATCCACGGCAATAAGCTACCCAACGCTACGCCCGCAACCCCCCAGAACAAGAGATATCTCCAATCGTCTCCTGGCTTAATGATGCTTTCGACCTGAAACGGCGCCAATTTCCGTTCGTGATGCAGATGCCGTACCAGTACCCCATACAGCATTCCTAAACCACCGAGTAATATCACCCTCATGAGTAGACCAAACCCGAAAGATACCCAGGATTGTTGGGGCGCTGGCGGTACGACGCCCGTTCTTCGTGTGGGGAAATAGGTCGAGCTGACAGCAGGCGTCTCAGCACCAGTGCCCCATGGTGTTGAGGGCTCTTCTCGCTCGTTGTCGTAGCCGGTGGGAGAGTAGATCCCAAGCAGGGTCGAAGATGTAAGGTTCAGGATGGAATGGGTTCGGGAGGGCGTGTTGTCGCCTGCGGAGGGTGTGAGGAGAGGACTGGGTGGTTGCTCGGGCGCGGTATTGGGGTTGAATGGGCGGCGGGGTTTGGGGTGTAGTATTTGTGGGTTATCGGAAGCCATTGTGAGAGTAAGGGATGTGTCGGAAGGTGGAAGGTAGTTGAGAGCGGGTATCTGCGGATTTGCGGATTTGCTGCTTCGCGGATCTGGGGATCTGGGGATTCGGAGGAGATGTCAGGAGAGATTGTTCAAGAGGCTTCTTATCCTGAAGCTATCCCTCGATACGCCGTATTTGCGGGCTGCTCATCCAAGTGCTTCCTGTTGTCTGCAGGCCGGTGCTGTCTCTTCGACGCTGCAGCTCCTCTCAACAAAAACTGGCAATGCAATGGGCAGGAAAGAACTACTTCCAGTACAGCCTTTGCTCGAGGATAGGAGGAACAGTCAACTCCAAGACACGCGAGTAAGGGAAGAGATAAGCAGACGATCAATGTCTTGGACTCCAGACGTCGTCAAGTGTGGGGAAGAGGTTGGTTCGACACGCAAGAGGAACACATGAGACCGAAGTCCTTGGAGGTCGCGAAGCTTATTGGCGCATCAGGCTGTATGGGTCGCCAGATGTAGCCAGATGCGCTTCACATGTTTTTTTCCCGGGGCGTTCGGCGATAACAGTCGGCTAGACCTGAATAGGCGGGGTTATTTTGTCTATTTTTAGACAACTCCCTCGGCTTGATCTAATAAGGCAAGCTCCGTCGTCGAGATCTTGCGCCAATTCAGACTGACAATGACTTTGTACCTTTTCATTTGCTAAAGACAAGAAGTAGATAATACTAGCGATTAAGGCATCGACTCCTATATATAGTTAAGGTATAGACAAGCCGAGTGCTGTTCTTTATAATTCATAATAGTGCTGCTCGCATTTCCAATCGAGGGATGTGTGCTGTTTTCTACCAGATCAGTTATCAGGAGTATCATGTCAGTTTCTCTCGGCATAGCGGTTACTGCCTCTACCATCAAATTGTCAAATTTTCGGCTCTTTCTTCGGCTCTAGAACCTTGGAAAACTCGGACAGTTTCTTCTTTTTCAATAATTTGATTAATTTGATGGTACAGAATTACAATTCTTTCTACATTCATCATCAATGGTTACAAAGTTCAGACTCTCGTCCACAGGCTTAGGACTCCAGTAACGTACTGAGTGATCTCATCTTCACTCAGCTTACTATCCCCATACACTCGGTCGACAAAGCTGATGGGCACCTCCGCAATGGTGTAACCCATTGACTTCGCCAACACAATCAACTCCATCTGAAAGACATATCCCTTGCTCTGCACTTTCGTAATAACGTTCTTTAGCATATCCTTCTTATAGAGGCGGAAGCTGCCCGTAAGATCGGAGACTCCGGGCCGAAGTAGCGTGTCGGCGAAGCTAAATGAAAAGAAATCAGTCTTCTTGTTCAAGTGTATTGAGGGGGCGCGATTGATTGCTCACATGTTAGCGCCTTTTGAAATAAGTTTCCTTTTCAGATCCCACCCGTATACACCACCGTCACCAGCATATCGTGTCCCTGTTACGATATCGTAGTCGTTGGTCGCTTGTTTGCGGATCATCTCGGGTATAAACTTGGGGTGATGGCTGAAGTCGGCGTCCATAATGATAACGAAGTTGCCAGTGGCGAAGTGGACTAAAGGGTCATTATGTCAGATATATCGCTATACTTTCTGGATCCATGCGACGTACGTCCGTGAATATATGCCGTTCCCAAGCCTAGTTTACCAGCGCGCTCCTTGAGTATGATTCGGCCAGGGAAAGCTTTCTGCAGTTGTCTCGCAATATTGGCGGTGCCGTCTGGACTCCCATCGTCGACGATGATAATCTCGTAATCGAAGTTGCTACGCATTGTCAGAGAGGACACCAGGGAGGTGGATCAGTCGTACTTCTTCGTGAAACTGTCATTGATGAGGGAGACGATGACCGGCAAGTTCCTCCGCTCATTGTAGGTTGGCAGAATGACTGAGTATTTGTTCTTCACAGCCATTGCTATTAAGGGTGATAAAAAGAGTGAAAGGTTGAAACGTCAAGTAAAGTTGTCTGCTGTTCGTTACCTTACCTTGGACAAGGGGAGCTGTGAAGGACAGATGACACGCTAAGATTGCGCTTGCCAAATCAGGACTAGACGCAACTTAACCAGCCGCGTCATGTCAAACTTGGTATCAAGAGCCCCGCATTAGGTTTTCAGCCTCAACTTACCGAATATCACCAGTTCAACGTCTGTTCTAGTATTTTTGTAGAACTGTCCTGATTATTACGAAGAAATTTCTATCGTGCACTTATTCAAATACCTTAGGTAAAGACGAATAAAACGTACTCTTATTTGTTGATGCGTGGCTACTTTAGAATTTAAGTTGAATTTCATTAGGGGTGCGGTAAGGTAAGCCCTCTCCCACCTTTTGGTACCTCCGTCATGGCCTCAACTAAGCTCAACCTCAATACCCCCGGGCTTTGAGTTTTGCAACCCATCCTCAATCTTCAGCAGTCTCCTTGGCCTTCTCTTGCACCATGGAACAAACAGAGATGCCAGCCCAAACCGACGCAGACCGTGTCGAAATATCGACATCACGAGTTAAGACCTTGCTCGATCTGCCTCCTGAAATCATCCTCCTAATAGCAGACTTCCTGCCAACGACCTCGACTGCCTCTTTTGCTCTCTGCAATAAAAGACTCGCCGCTCAATTCGGCAGCAAGCCTTGGAAGCTGCTCTCCAGCATGGAATCCGAGGATCGCATATACTTCCTCTCCATTCTATCACGAGATCTCCCTCACCACCACGCATGCCATGGGTGTATCCGCCTTCATCTCAGCACTTCCACCCCACTGCCGGCAGACTTCAGTCCATCACCCCTGCCCCTCTCCTGCATCCCTGCGTGTGATCGCGACGATTGTTCAGGTTTAATGTCAGAACGTGGGCTCTTCTCCATTCCGAACTACTTTTCTCCTTACAAGCTGCGTTTCCCCCACGTCCAATTAGCGCTAAAACAACACCACCATGGCCTTGATCATGGCATCTTACTCAGTGACCTATCGCACACCGACATCCAGTTCGTCCAAGGAAGTGTGTTTCTCTTTTCAGTAGATGCGCGAATCGCATCCGATGAGATGGTTGTGCGATCTCAGGAATGGGCTATATCGAGCGAGCACCCACGTGAAGACTTCCTGTCCAAGACTGTGATCCACAACGTCTGCCAGCATCAGATGACCTACAATGCGGAATTTGGTCTTGATGATAGCTTCACGAGCTTGATTCGATGTCGGCTTGGCCATGGAGCCGCAGACGATGACTGTGCTTGCATGAGATTGCATCAATGTCCTTTCTGCCCTTTGGAATATCAGATTGACGTTGTGGATTTCAAAGAGCGAGGGACTGCCATCTGTGCCACTAAATGGTTGAATCTTGGGGCCGGCCTCACCACTCGTGATTCGAATTGGCGGGGGCACCATCTTTCACATGACGACTACGTTCCGCATAATCTGCCGCTTGGAAGCATTCGTTCAAGCTATGAGAGTCAGGAAGCAGCATCTGTTAATGATCTAACTGCCGAAAATAAGAAGAGGCTGTCTTCTTTTTTACGCATGACTGGATATGGTATGTTTGGGGATCCGGATGGTTATGATTGGAAGTTGGTTGGACATGACATCTGGTACATTAGGCCTCCAGGAGAGTTCCATACCATCCCATGGTTGCTTCACCGATTACGCGCCTCGATTCTAAGAATCAGTCCGCAATTCCTTGTGATTTTATCTTCAATCCTCATGGTTGCTCAACTTGCTTTGCTGATATTGCGCATTTAGGAATGTTGGCAGCTCGGAGGACTTTCAAGGCTTTGAGTATTTTACAGTTTTCAAGTAATCATGAATGCCAATAATGAAATCTCATAGTTTCAGAACCCCTCCACCCTCCCCTTGGCTTTTATTCTGGTGCAACTGAAAATAGAGCTCGATCGTTACGAAACTGTCGCGGATATTGCAGTGTGCAAGTCCGTAGGTTCAAGAAGCTATGAGAAGTTGCATATCCCCAGGTGCCACTGAGGCAGTCGTGCCTTCCTATAACAGAGACCTCCCTAGCACGAAGCAATGTCTTGTTGACTTTCCGCACAGGCTTCTCGACTCTCTTCTTTCTTCTTCACCTCTTTTCCACAAACGCACGTTCATACTCTGCTCACGCTCTGTATCCATTGAACTTTGCAATATGACTGAGGCCTACAATATTTCGAACGCTGTGGCAGCCTGGGTTATGCCTATACTTGCATTGACCTTTTCCGTCATAGCGTTCATACAATGGCATTACAATGTGCAACTCAATGTTCAAATGTTCCCAATGTTTCCAAAGTTGGACAAGCTTGCACCCCGCACGATGAGCGTATTCCGTATCCGCTTATATTTAGCCGACTGTATCCGCTTACGTCAGACACTCGACCTCGTCGAGGTACCTCGTGCGTGAGACCAGCATCAACATCTCCAAGAATCAGGACAGGTCCTGCGGATTTGTTTCTTCACCATGAAAAAATTATATACTAAAATAGTCGCCAAGAAAGAGTCAAAGGGTGGATCGATTCAACGGCCACCGGCGGCTACCTCACAACTGTCGGAAGACTACGGCTTGAAAGTGATATACCAAGGACAGCGGCCGACAATCGAGTGAGTAGAGACCCTCCAGATCTTGCAAATTCCCCCAATTCTGACGGCGATATAGCATAGTGGCCATCCACGGCCACGGGGGCCATTGGAAACGATCGTGGACCGATCAACCATCAGGCACATTCTGGCTTCGAGACCTGCTACCGAAGGCCGTCCCTGACGCGCGAATTCTATCATACTGGTATGATACTTCGAATTCGTCGACGACCCCTATTGAGAGTATCGCCGTTGCTTTTCTATCAGAGCTCTCTCAGTTGAGAAAGACCACTGCTGTAAGTCTCGGAACAGTGCTGTGTTTTGATCGTCCATACTCAATTCTATTAGAGTAATGATCGGCCTATTATATTCCTGGCGCACAGTTCTGGGGGCATCTTTCTTAAGGCTGTACGTCGAATTTCAACAAGTCATTAGAGAGTTTTCTTGTTGACGATGGCCCTTAGTCGCTCGGTGAATTCGGTGAATCCCCCGAGAACCAGGACACGAAAACGGATTTCAGGAGAATCAGGTTATTGACTTATGGAATTGTTTTCTTTGGCGTACCTCAACATGCCGAAGATGGATTCGACGTTCTGTCATCCGCAGATGCGGAAGCTGGACCTCTTCCCTCCGAGCCGCCCCTGATGGCAGCCCTCAGACGCGATCTACTTTGGCTGAAAGATTCGAATTTGAAATTCTCCAGAATAAGGGCGGATTTCATCACGACGTATTTCACAGAAGCGCCGCCCCCGATTACTGCTGGACAGAATCAGGTATGTATGCCCCTCTCTTGGGGTTTTCCCATCTCACCTCCTTTAGGAACCAATGATCAAGCCGGAATCCCCTGACATTCTCCATACCAACGTCATACGCCTGAGCAAGACCCATGGCGAGATGATCAAATTTCCAAATGCTGCTGATAGAGACTTCCAGAAAGTGAGTGCTTGTGTGTATATGATGGTTTCAGAAGCTACGAAGGACACGAAGATTTGATGACGACGATGCAGTCATGAACGAAGAATATATTCTCTGACAGAGTGGTTATGAACTTACCCCTTTATCATGATTCTGGTGTTTATTTGAGAGATCGTGTCCTGCAGGAGGTCTCAGCTACAAGGTAAATGCAAATCAAAGACCTATAATAACCGATTTTTCAGGGCTGCAAGAAAGTTAAATATTCCTAAATAGGTGGGTAGCTATAGTGCCACCGAGATATCCCCAATCCTCCCCTCTACTAAAATCTGACTAATGCCACCTGCCTTAAGGTGAGACAAGAAAAATTACTATTAATAAATAACAGCCCGTACTCAATTTCATCCGCCGGCAACCTCTCAAGCAACGATAAGCTGCTTCTCCTTCTTCAAGCCCTCAACGACCGAGAGCGAAATGTTCAGCGTCTGGGCCACGATCTCTGGCGGCGTCAAGGCTAGCCACTGGGTCAAGCTGATATCTGCCACGCGATCCGACTTGTAGATCTCGATCCAGACGAGCTTCTCTGTCTCGGACGTGTTCTCCACGTAATGGCCTTTTCCGGAACGTGGTTAGCGTACCAGAAGCCAAGGGATAGGTTGGGGGAGCGGTATGGACTTACCTGAGTTGTCAGGGAACACAGCGGTGTCGCCAGCGGTGAAGTCAAAGGTGCGGGCGTTGGCGCCGCCGAGGAAAACGGTCGCGCGTGCTTGGCCTTGGTGGAAGTAGATCCATTCAGCGGCCTTCGGGTGATGTTAGTCGGGTAGAGAGTCTTGATCTATGGGGGCTGTGCTTACATTCGGGTGCCAGTGCAGCTCACGCAGACCCTTGGGCTCGACAGTCACGATGGCGGCGGCGATGGTGGTTGCAATAGGGAAGTTGCGCGAGTCAACGATCTGGATCGTTCCACCGCCGCCAGGGGCTGGGGTTGCTGGGTGCTGCGAGGCGTGGTAAACGTAGGAGCTGTTGCCGGAGAGGGTTCCATATGGGCTGCTGGCGGGAATGGTGCTGATGTTGCCCTTCAGGATGTAAGGGTCGGTGGCTGGGACGGTGCTGAAGACAGAGGCGTTGACACCGAAGTTCTTGGCGAGGATGTCTTTGGGAGTGTGGGCGACCCAGTCGTCAACCATGAAAGTTGTTCTACGGATTGGTCTCAGCATGTTATTGACCGGGCTTAGAAGCATGAACATACCCAGTGGCATCGAAGTTACCTTTACAAGAGTTAGCAGAGCAACATTGGATGGTTGAGTGGAAGGGGCATACCATCATCGAAGATAAGTAAGTATTCATTCTCGTCCGCAAGCCCTGGTTCTATCAGTCTATTTCATAGAAGGTATAAGGCTTGATAATACCTTGAAGAGTATGGGCTGATCCCTTGGGGAAATACCAGATGTCTCCGGTTTGAAGAACATCTTGTTGGTTCTTTCCGTTCTCATCGACAGCGGAGACAAGGAGTGATCCAGCGTATACGATACCCCACTCAGCCTATGAAGGTATCAACACCTACACTACAACATTCCCGAGTGTCGTGTACTTACCACTCGATGCCAGTGGAGCTCACGGTAAGCACCCTTCTTCAAGTGCTGCTGCGCTCCCGCGATGTCTTTGCTAGGCGGGATGTCCGTAACCACTTGCTCACGGACCCAACCTCCGTTGTAGATTTTTGTTTTCGAATCCGAAAAGCTCCATTTCAGGTTGGTGACCAGTCCACTATCCGTTGACTCTTCGCCAAGGTTATCAGGATTCTGGAGATCAAGGTCCTTGTTTGTTCCACCTAAAGCATATGGTAAGCAGAGGCTTTAGAAAGAGAGGATAGATGCGATGTCAAGTACTGACCGAGGATTGGGCCACCTTTGCCATTGGCATCAATTGGCTCGCCCTGAGCGAACTGCTGGCGTTTCTCTATGACTGGACGCAAGTGCTTCGCTTGAGTAATCCCCTGGGGGCTGGAAAGCTTCGGGGCCGGAAGCACCGGACTTGCATACACAGCCGGAGCCGCGGTCAGCAGCAAGCAGAGAATGGAACTGTACTTCATGGTTTCTCAAGAGCTCTTGGGAAAGAATGAACAAAGATCAGAACAGGGAGGTTGGCGGCGGTTGAAGTTCATCACGTCCGTCAAGGCTGTGAGCCTGTGAGTTATATAGCCAAGACATCCGGACACAGGGGACCCGATTGCAAATTCTGATGTTCGGTGTCTCCCCCCACAGTGCCACACACATCGTTTCAATCAGACTAATGAATACAGGAACTGTCGTGCAAATTAGCAGAAATGGCGTTCAAGGCCGTTCTTCAGCAGATGCGACGATCAATGAAAACCGGGAAATTGTGAAGCTTCTGCGTTGTCGGTGTTTTAACACTACTTAGTGGAGTATCCATCAAGACGGCAGCGACCGAGTAGTAGCCACACTACCCAGGGGCTTGCCCCAATGTTGGCGTTTGCGCCTCATATGTCGTGATGACGGGGGTCCTGGAGGTTATATTGCAGGGTTGTCCAATCCCGGAACACCGGGACCAGCGGGCGACCAGGGACCAGCCCTATTTTAACCTTAATCGTTTAAATAAGGTTAAGCTACGGCCCGCTAAATCCACCTGGCAGACATGGCATGCCGACGCTTTCCCTCTTTCGTTTCTTCTTGGCACTTCACAACCTCTCCGCAGAATGTCGTGCTCGATCAAATCTCACTTCTTCCCGGCTTTCTACTGGCCTCTCTCTTCTTGGCATTTGCTTTCCTCTGGGGTTCGTCCCAAGTATGACAATTCCCACCCCCGATACCACGGGTAAAGTTGCCCCGGGACTTCGACCTGCTGTCGATCTTTGCTTTGCTTGTATGATGTAGTTGGGCCCAGGGTGATAGGGTCCTGACATCAACAGTGTTGTTGTCTTTGCTGTTACTCCCTGTTGCTTCCCAGGGGTTTACCAATCTGCAGAATCCTGCTTTGTGAACTGGGAGTCTTGAGACCGGGTCCTTGGGGCCTTATCCCCCTGGGAAAGGTATCCTGGATGCATACGATAGTCTTCCTTTCCCCCTGGTGCTTCTCTATCCGTCTTCCCTTCTCCCGACAACTTGTAGCCGGCCGAGGCTCTCCAATTCTGGGACCGTGGCAAACTTGGTCACCAAGGCCCCCCTCAAGCTTAAGCTTTCCTTGCCGCCCTTGGCATCCCATGGCCCCTATGGATTGCATATTCCTACGCTTTTACTGGACAGGCCATAGGTCCTTGTTCTGTTGGCGTTCAAATGCCGGAGAGGCTCGGTAATAGACCTCAGGGACCGGTAGTTGGTACGTCGACGGTAGTAAATCTGCAGTATTACCTCTCGTGGTGCTCGTTCCATACCGAATCATATCCCGAATCTCCGCAAACCTTGCTCTCTGTCGTCCAGCTGACGCACAGGTGACAAATCTTCGATCAATTTTGAAAGCGAACGGTGATTGCAGATCAAGTGCTGCCCTGCATGAGCCGATCAATCCTTTCAATATTCTCCGTCGGCCTCGATCCAGCAGATCCTCATCTACAGATCGTGTGCCAAGCTTCTGGCTAGGAATATGTCCATTATCACGACATTCTGACCCCCGTTTTCGTCAAGGCCAGGAACCGTTCCCTTTGTCTGGTTTGGATGTATCTCTTTTGCACGGGAAATGGGTTTGGCTGTTGAGGAGGGAGCAGATAGTTATAATATTTCCATCCCCCTCAAACCTGCTCAAAAACTCGCGCACTCGACAAACCTCTCGTCGTCTCCATAGTATTGGGTTTGAGTCTCGTTCAACTTAGGCTATCTTTACCTAAACTCAAACATCGGCAACCATGGCATTCGCTCTCTTTACTCTTACGTCCTTGATGGCAGCTACTGCTGTTGGGTCACCAATCGCTGAACCCAAGCCAGACCCGCAATTGTCACTCCCACCACTCATTCCATCCATCCCTGGTGTCACCGATCCAATTGCTAGCAGTCTCTCAATCCCTCTGCCAATTCTCCAAATCCCAACTCCACCACTTGAATCTCCTCCCTGGAATGGGAGTGACTTGCAACCAAAGAAATTGGGATACTTCTGGACTGCCTCGGGCGACAATGAGCACGCGGATTTCCTCGCTGCCTACAGTCTTGACGACGACACTTTCGGAGAGTTCATCTGGTTGGCCGATGTCCCATCCAGCGGGAACAGCCCGCATCATTTGGGGGTCTCCAATGATGGAAAGACGCTTATCGGGGGTGGTCTCCTCTCGCTCTTGAAGACCCAGGACACTGCATACTTCTTTGACGTGTCGAACCCTTACCGCCCCAAGTTCTTGAAGAGCAACCGTGCATTACTCGCCTCGATTGCCGACGAGATCCGCACTACACCAGAGGGGGGTTTCCTCGTGACATACATGGGGTCTGCTGTGGGAACATCCCCTGGCCGCTTGGTTGAATTCGACTCCAACTACAACATCATCGCCCAGCATCCCGAAGACGTTGCAGGCCAACTCAACATTCTTGGAGAGCAATTCTCGCCTCACGGACTCACTGTCAACTGGGAGAAGAACATCGGTTTCACCTCCGATTTCGTCGTCCCTCTGTCCATCTTGAAGCCTAGTCTTGAGATTACCAGGGCGAACACCCTGCGTCTCTGGGACCTTGAGAAGCGAACCATTATTAGCACCATCACCATCCCTAACGGTGGCGGAATCCAAGATGTCAAGTTCATTCCCGGAAACCCCGACTCTGCTGCCCTCGCGACCGCTGTCCATCTTGGCCAGGTCTGGATCATCTACCCCTTCAAGTTCGATGCCAACGGCAACCAGGGTGTCGCGGAGTTGCTCTACGATCTCGGACCAAAGGCCCGCGACACGACCGCCATCTACTCTGATCTCACTCAAGACGGAAAGTTCATCTACCTGACACTCACGACCGCCAACCACATCGCCGCGCTCGACATTTCTGACCTGTCGAACGTCAAGCGTCTGGATGACCCTGATGAGCAGCAGCCCACCGTCGGCCCGCACTACATCAAGGTGACTCCCGACCAGAAGCACATTGTCGTGACAGACTACTTCGTGCAGACGGGCGACATCGGTCTCATCAACACGCCAGCCGACTACAAGGCGCTGTACATTGACATCAACGACGACGGCTCGCTGCACTTCAACCGCTCTATCGACTTCAACGCTCTGTACCGTGAGCGTGGAGGCGCGAAGCCACACTCGAGTGTGATTTTCGACTTCACGGACCCGAACAATGTCATCCACTACTAGACGGGCTTGGAAGTTGGTGTTCTCGTAGGAGACTGGGAGGGGCAGTTGAGGAGCAGCTTTTTCTTTCTTTCTGATGTTTGAGCACCGAGACTACACAAGTCCAAGTCATATTGCCAGTCACGGCTTTTCAAAATCATATTTCCAGATAGTCTGTTGATAATTCAGTTAATCTAATAAGACGAGATTTTACTTGTCATCTACGGTTTCTGTTTCGTCTCATTTGAAAACTTGCATTTCCCAAAGCTCAAGATAAATTCACCATGTACAGTGAGTGTATGTTCAGCGTATGTCGGACTTTCAGGAATCCAGAATGGCAGCTCCAGCCTGTCAAAAACAAGAACCCCACATGGAAAAGGCATTTGCACATCGGAAAATTCAAATCTGACAAGACCCCAACGACGGGAATCCTACAAAACTGATCGAGATCACCGTCCCAAGCCCAAAACCCGCTCTCTCACAGAGATCTCCCTATCCACTGACTCGCAAACCAAGAACGCAAGGCCAGAATGCCATCTACGTCAAGATGGCGAAATCAAACCGAGGTCCCCCCTTCTCGGGAACCCACGGAGCTTAAGCAAGTAAGCATGCAGGTTCAGGGGGGGGGGGGGGTCTGGCAAACTATCGAGTACCTAGACCGGCCTGCAAACCAACCGCGCCCCCCTTTCCCAAATCCCGCCGCCCGCGCCACATGGCTCTACTATAGATTCCCTGTCCGTCGATCACCGTGTAAAGTTCCCCTGGAAGTTGAAGTTCATGCCAGGGTCAGGTACATAGTGCATTGCGTTGCATAGGCATGGGGACGGGCAATACCGCACCCCCACCACCCCCAACCCTGTCCCCTAGTCGTGTGAATTGCTCTTGCAGATGAAGCTATTGATGGTAAGCTGTGAGATTCTCATATTGTGATATTGATGACGGGAGGTATGTAGATCAGTGATCTTCAGTTCGTAAATTAAGAGG